CTTCTTATGTCCACTTGAAAATTACTTTTGGCCAGTTTACACCCATTTAGTATTAAAATAACTTTATAGCTCTTCTCCCTTTCTGAATGTATCCTTTCTGTTTGTGGAACAAACTTCACAGTTTTTATGGGTAGAAGCTAAATATGTTAAGATTTTATTGCAAATATCTCCATTGGCAAGTGTCCCTATTTCTCATCAGAAGATGTTTTGGTGGGTGCTTTCTATATAGCTTTATAAGAATTAAGACTTTAAAAAGAAGAGGTAAAAATATAAACATTCAGAAAGTGATGAAATCATCAGGGAAGGCTTGCTGTAAAGAATCTTCACATGCCAGTATAACATCGATCTTGTATTCAACCCTAGTTTTGTATCAATAATTACGAGGATTACTATAAGAACTATACTTTGTGCCCGAAAAAAAAATTATTTATAGCAATGCTATTGTATCTCATAACTGAAACATATAAACAACATAGTTCACTATGAACTGAATTTCTGTTACAAAGAAAGGATCATGAAAACAGATATTTACTGTCTCAGATGATATTTTTTGAGGTATTTAACCTGAGAATTTTTTGGAAGTTTGCTCCTGGAAAAACAGCTCTGTGAGTGTTAATGGTGTAATTGCTAAATGTGCAAAAATGTATGAGAGCAATATAATTACTTAGTCTGGTCAGGAGCATCACATATTGTATCTTCTTACAGTCACTGCACCTTCTTATCTGTCTAATGTTTAATAATGTGGAAGATAGCGATGCAATTGATTTTTTAAAATCTTCCTTTTTAAATTTTATCTTTTTTTTTTTTTTTCATTTGTCAAGTAGATATCTTTTGGATGGTGAATATACTCTACTATTTGATCCCAGATTGCAAAGTACACAAACTTCTTCCATTCAGGCCACATAGGTCGAGATTACAGAGCATTGACTTCAGAATCTACCAAAGAGAGTTTAACCAAACACAACAGGTATAGAGAAAACAGGCATAAATTTAAATATGTTAGAAGACAAATCAGAAAAACTCATCTATTCAGATTACTCAGCCTAGTATCCTAGGAAAGAGGAAAACTTATTCATATTTTCTTCTATTAATGTTTATAGTAGAAAAAAAAGAAAGACTGGAGATAATTTTAAAAGTAAATGGATTGTACACTGCAGATGTGGTGTGCGTGGTTAATTCCAAGATTTTACAAATTTACTTTGTCCTAACAAAGTTTTCAGCACAGCAACATGACTATGGTGTTTCCCAAATTCTGCAATCCAAATTACAAGCCATTACAATTAATGATATTTGGTAAGTAATCTTGTCTTTAAAATGGAGGGTTTTGGTTTGATTCAAAGCCCTTACTTTTACCTTAAAATACAAAAAATTCTGAAAGGAAAATCTTAATACATAGCTTTTGAATCCAAAGAACAAATCATACAAACAGAGAAAGCAATGAAACTTTGCTGAAATGTGTGTGTGTATGTATGTGTATATATATGCATTTAAGACTTGAGGGAAGAAAGATCTGTTGAATTCCTGTAATGACTTCTATTGTAAGACCAGACCTAGCATAATCACGTACACCTTTCCTGACTTAGCTTTAGCTCTAACCCAATTCAAGAGGCTAAACTTAGTTTTTAATACCCCGATTTCCTGACTATTCTGTAATTGCACTGAAATAAATAAAAACTTCTTGGAGATGCCAATGATAAGAAGTAAGAGAATGGGCATCCTTTAGTTTGTGTGTTTGTGAACATTCCCTAAAGTGTGTTGGGTGATTAGGCTGGATCTAACGTGCTGGATCCAGGAATTCCCTCAGAGCTGGAGCTTGGTGCAGCACTGTGGCTGTATAATCAGAATCTGGTACTCCTGAGTAACTTTAAGTAAAGGTAGTTGAACTGGTTGGTCTCTTTGTTTTGTTTTATTCTTTTTTTCAAATTCCTATATAAGTGTCTTGTTTAAGAATTTTTTTTTATCTTCTTTCAAAGTACTCTTGGCCTTCTATCATTCTTGATTTGCCTGGCTAGCCTTAAGTAATATTATATATTATATATTATATATTATATATTATATATTATATATTATATATTATATATTATATATTATATATTATATATTATATATTATATATTATATATTATATATTATATATTATATATTATATATTATATATTATATATTATATATATTATCTGCAGAGCTGAATAAAGTTAGGTTTTTTTTTTTAAGGTATCCAAGCAAAATAAAATTAAAACCCAAATAAGATTGCCTTTTAACTAACCTGCTCGCCCCCTATTGTCCTCTGAGATAACAAAAACCGAATTACAGTAATGTCCCTTCAGCACTGAAAGTACCCCAGGCATGAAATCAGTCCCAGGAGAATTTTGTGCATATTAAAGCTGCAGGGATTTCTGAATTATTTTCTCGACCTTCATTGGCGCTTTCCTGCAAAACTGACAGATTATACAGACCTAATTGCAAAATATTCTGCCCCATTTTTTATTTTCCAGCTTACTTGAACCTTAATACCATATAAAGCCAAAGCTCTGTTTGGGCCTCAGAGGAGTGATGCTGATCCAAAAAAAAAATGTTAAAGGAAAGATTCTGTCTATTAAAAAACAGATGTAAATAAAATTGTATAGCATATACATATAAATACCAACTTATGAAGTAAAGGGGTTAGTTTACACCTAAAAAGACAGGCTTTTCTTTGGTTCTTGAATATTAAAAACAGCTTAAACATTATGCATGATAAAGTGAGTATTTAAAAAGTAAAGATTTTTTCTTTACTTTTGATAATTATATAACCAACTCTTCCCTTCATTCACTAGGACTATTTTTTTCTCTGCTTGATTTTCTAACACTGTATCCAAATCTTTGGCAGATTTCTTTTTCTCATTGTTTCACTTATCAAATTACAGTGATTGTTTTGTTTTTCATTAGGGATTGAGGATCATGATTTTACTAGATGCTACTCTTGCTTATATAAAAGAAAAATCCTTTCGTAATTCTGCTTTTTCTGTGACTTTTGTAACCGGTGCAACCACCTCGTTCACCAGCAGACCCACATTTTCCCTAATCTTCCTTTTGCCATTGATATATTTGAAAAAGCTGTTCTTATTATTTTTAACATCCCTTGCCAGATTTAATTCCAAATGTACCTTGGCTTTTCTCCTCACATCCCTGCATTCCCTCAGAACATTCCTATATTCCTCCCAAGGAGCCTGTCCTTTTTTCCACATCCTGTATACTACTGTTTTCTGTTTGAGTTTTGCCAGCATCTCCTTGCTCATCCACGCAGGCCTCCTGCCGCCTCTGCCTGACTTCTTACTCATAGGGATGTACTGCTCCTGAGCGTGGAGGAAGGGCTGCTTAAATATTGACCAGCTCTCTTGGGCCCCCCTTCCTTCCAGAGCCCCAGCCCATGGAATTCTTCCAAGGAGGTCTCTGAAGAAGCCAAAGTTGGCCCTCCTGAAGTCCATGGTGCCTCCTCCTCGTTGGATCCTGAACTCCTCTCCATGGTCAGCAGCCAAGGCTACCCCCCACCTTCACATCAGCTATAAGTCCCTCTCTATTTGTTAGTGCAAGGTCCAGTAGCCCTCGTTGGCTCCTCCACAGTCTGTGTCAAAAAGTTATCATCAATGCTCTGCAGAAACCTGCAGGACTGTATGTGCCTGGCTGTGCAATCCTCATAAAAAGATCTTTAATTATTATATGAAAAGAGGGAAATAAAGCTGAAAAAATGCCAAATTATATTCATTACTGGATCAAAAAAAAAGTATTTGATATTGCACTTTTTCTTCCTTTTCCCCAAGCAGTAGAATGTCTTATATGTGCATAGACAGAGGGAAGTAAATACATGTGAAAGGCAAATAAGCAATGACTATTTTTCTAATTTGTTGTTGAAGATGATGTTCTTGTAATTATTAACATTTTCGTGAATATCATATGACATTCTTTTGTTTTATCTTGCCTGTATAATGTATAGGTATAGGTATAGGCCTGTATAGGTATTTATCTTATAGTGAGGTGGATTGAGAACTGGCTGGATGGCAGGGCCTGGAGGGTGGTGATAAATGAGGCCGAGTCTAGTTGGAGGCCTGTGGCCAGTGGTGTCCCCCAGGGATCAGTACTGGGCCCATAGGGTCCAGCATAGGGCCACAGGGATGATTAAGAGACTGGAGCATCTATCGTATGAGGAAAGACTTAAGTGAGCTGGGCCTGTTTAGCCTAGAGAAGAGAAGACTGAGGGGGGATCTGATCAATACATATAAATACCTGAGAGGAGATATTTATAGGGAGAATGGGGCCAACTCTTCTCGGTGGTGGCCAGTGATAGGACAAGGGGTAATGGGTACAAGTTGAAACACAGGAAGTTCCACCTCCATGTGAGGGTGACAGAGCCCTGGAACAGGCTGCCCAGAGAGGCTGTGGAGTCTCCTTCTCTGGAGACCTTCAAAACCCCCCTGGATGCCACCCTGTGCCACGTGCTCTAGGTGTCCCTGCTGGAGCAGGAGGGTTGGACTAGATGATCTCTAGAGGCCCCTTCCAACCTTAACTATTCTGTGAAATGAATATATAGCGCATTGATGTGTTTTTACTTAGATTTTGAAAAAAAAAAAGTTAACTGGAAGTTAGCTTGGACTCTTTTCAGGAGGAATTCTAAACTAGCTTCTAATAGAATGGAAGATCCAGCCTTTAGTAAACTAAATATATTAAAGTGTTGCTGCATTTCTTTTTCTTTGTTTCTTTTTTAGATATGCATCAGTGCTGTGTTTGTGATTGTGTCTGTGTATACATATACACACAAAGATGGCAACTTAGCATATGCTTCTTAGTCAAAATCTTATTTATGTATATACATACATAAATGAAAAATAAATGGAGTTAATGCAAAAACAGAGATAGTCTTTTAAGTGCTGCAGTTCTCTTGGAGTCAGAAAAAGAGATAAATTCTAGATTTCTAGAATTGTTTCCCTCAGATGTTTAATGATGACATTATATTATTATTTCAGATAAACCTACAGAGGAAGATGAGAGTCACTGGCGTTATAACTCAAGGTGCCAAGAGGATTGGAAGTCCAGAATACATAAAATCTTACAAAATTGCATATAGTAATGATGGGAAGTCATGGACAATGTACAAAGTAAAAGGCACAGATGAAGATATGGTAAGATTACGTTATCTGGATAGGCATAAGTCTCATGGTTTAGCAGTCTTCAGAAGTATGAGATATCTCTAGCAGATAAGTATAACTGCCTGACGGAGGAACAGAGAAAGTAGTCTCTTTCCTTGCTATTATTTTTCTCTGAAAAAGCTAAGACAAAAATATGTACTTTCTGTAATTTCTTATACTTTAATTGATGGTTGTAAAAATACTGTGTCCCAAAGCTAGAATAATCCTGTTTATTGCTCTTAAGTGGTTTTCATTTTAATTAGTTTACCAGTAATTACTCATTACTCTGTTTTCAATTTAGTTTTGTTACATTGGCAGATTAATGTTAACCCTTAAAAGCATAGAACCCATTCATCAATGCTAATCTCTGCATTGCATAAACAGTATCATGTTTATCATGTATGTATACGATTTATGGTTACTATTTATTTTTATACAGAGTTCTGAATGCAAAACAGCAAGAATCGTTTTACTGTGAAAGTTAAAATAGACAAGACACTTATCAGCATTCGACATAGTTCCTCATATGCAGACAGGAAGTTGAAATGCTTTGTGAAAAGGTGTATAATGAGGGAAGAGACCAAAATATAAGCATCTAGTTAGAGTGAGGAGAGAATAGAAGAATGTTTTTAGATTTAATTCAACCCCCACTTGGATCAATGGAAAGGTTCCAGTAGAATTCAGTGGTAATTGCAGCAGTTTATTGAAGTAGAGGGAAAAAATAAATGTCAATCAATGTAAATAATTGCAGGCTAGATTGAACAGGAACTATTTAAAACAGTAATTTGAGGGGAAAAAAACAGTTGTAATTTAGTGCATTAGAAGTACCAGCTTCTAGGAGTGACAAGTCAAAGGCTGTTTCACCAGGGGCAACAAACTTGTGCATGTATAAGCTAAAGGCAGTCGCACCTTCTTTAAAATCTTGAGTGCTGGGCACAGGAAGTGGAAAAAAACCAACCTCTGTTTGTGAAAAAAAATCACAGAGAACCAAGGAGGGAAAATTAGAAGAGCAAAGGGAATATGCTTGAGGCATCAGAATGGAATGAATATCTCTTAATTCTTTTAATATATTTTTATGAATATGTCATTTTAACATAGGTGTTCCGTGGAAATATAGACAACAACACTCCTTATGCCAACTCCTTCACACCACCAATAAAGTCACAGTACATACGGCTATATCCTCAGGTTTGCAGAAGGCACTGTACTTTGAGAATGGAACTTCTTGGCTGTGAATTATCAGGTGGGTTTTATAATGACTGCCATATTTCAGAAATCAACAAACAAGCAACACATTTTTGTGCTGGTGGTTTAGAGCAGATCCAGTTTATTCATGCCAAAATACAGTTGGCATCCCTAAGCTTATCTGGATATTTATTGTTTCTTTTTATGTGAATGATACAAGCAACAATAATTGCTTATGGTACAATGGTGGTGGTAGTAGTAGTAGTAGTAGTAGTAGTGGTAAGGTAACACAGTAGCAACCTTAGCAAATCTTTTGTGTGCTTTGGCCACCAACTATGTGTGACCTACAAAAAGTCACTTATGATCAGCTTGAATAAGTGTCATCAGATATCAGGAGCTTTTCTGGTATATACTGTAGAGGCATTGAGACAGAAATGGTTGCTGAGAACTAAAGCTGTTTGTCCAGAGTCTGCTGTGCAGTTCTGAAGAGAAACAGGGACCACAGTCATAGAATCCCTAAGGTTGGAGATGATCTAGTCCAAGCACCCTGCACACACAGGGTCAGCTAGAGCATGTCAATCATCTGAGTCATTTCTCATGACTGCTGGGTGATCACACTAATGATGAATGATGTGCTTTCACATCACTCCAAAGCATCTTTGGAGGTACAAGAGTATTTCCTCTGGACTGGAATAAGATATATTTTACTGAGCTGCTTTAGAAAATATTTGGTTTTACATTTGTTTCATGTCTTTCCAGTGGAAGCAGTGATTTTGTCTTAAAGAAAAAGTGAAAAAAGTAGACCAATATAAACCCTCTTATGGTTTCGAGTGGCAGATATAGCTCATAAATGTAAAGCCTGACCTGTTAGCCACTCGCTGCAAAAACCATGTCCCTTTACAAATTCAGTAATGCATGTTAATTTTTGAAAATCTTTTGCAAGGGATCAACGTTTACAGTAGCAGTGCTCCACAAATTCATTTAGGAAATATTTTTCTGTGCCTATGTGCTTATTGTACAAATGATAGTCATCCAGTTTACGAATTATAGATCAAAACAGTAGGAGTTAAATAACTTTTAGTCTCCTATTGGTATCAAAACCAGATTCAGAAATGAAAAGTTAATGCATTAATTTCAGTGTAGCCCTTTTACAATATAGATAGATTTGAGAGTAAATAGAAAATTCTGTCTAGGTGCTTTAGTCTGTTAGGGTTTTTTTGTGTCTTCCATTTCTGGAACCACAATTTGAAGTCCTTGCCAGAATGACCAAGAATTGTTTTGCTCAAAGAACTATGAAAACTCCTGAAGTAAATTCATTTCTGTGGTCTCCTAACAATTTCAAAGTCATCATTTCTTAGAATTGCAGGCAGCCAAGGCTCAGCAAAACAATTTCAGTGTCTACTGGAAAGTATAATTATACATAAAGACAGTCTAATGCAGTCTTATTCCAGATGATCTGTTTTAGTCTGAAAAGGATGTTGACAGATCTGGTTTCTCTAACAAATAAATGAGCTAAAGAAGAGAAACATTACTGAAGGGAAGGAAATGTTGTAGGATGCTCGTCCTAAAAATGAAATATTTCTTAGGATTCAGCAGTTCAACAGTAAACAACCATGTAAACAACCATTAGTACAACACACATTTATTAAGTCTCATGGCCTTGTATTCCTGCCTTGTTTGTGTTTTGCACATCTCTGTTTTGTAAATTCCCGTCCTTTTTAGCCATCTTGTACAAATTTGGCAAGTCGTTGGTGTTTCAATTTTTTCAGTTCTTGAAGAGGTATGGTAATTCCCAGAGCTTTTTATTCCTCAGGATATGTTCACATGTGGCTTCTCAACACTTATTCTCTTTGACCTCTTGTTTTCTTGAAACCGTTCCTCCCTCCAGGCTTAGAGGTAGCTATAGAATCTATTCACACAATTTCGTATGCAAGGAGTCTTCGTAACTTCTGCATTTATAGTGACCATGAAATTAAAGAATTTTCAATTCTTGGCGAAGTTAGGAGGGGCATCAGCAAAACCACTACCTTGGGCTTCTGGAGGGCAGATTTTGGACTGTTTAGGATATTGATTGGGAGATAAAGTTACATTTCCATGTGAGGAACAATTTCTTTCCTCTGAGGGTGACAGAGCCCTCAAGCAGGCTGCCCAGAGAGGTTGTGGAGTCTCCTTCTCTGGAGACCTTCGAAACCCTCCTGGATGCCACCCTGTGCCGTGTGCCTAGGTGTCCCCAGTGGAAGATTGGACTAGATGATCTCTAGAGGTCCCTTCCAACCTCAACCATCCTGTGAGCCCTGTGAGTTTGTGAGTTCCCTGGGAGGCAGTCCTGAAGAGCAATAGGGTCCAAGAAGGCTGGACATTTCTCAAGTTGGAAATCTTAAAGGCGCAGGGGTAGGCTGTCCCCATGTGCAAAAAGACAAGCCTTTGGGAAAAAAGACTGGTGTGGCTAAATAGGGAACTATCGCTGAGACTCAGGGAAAAAAGAGTTTGCCACCTTTGAAAGAAGGGGCAGGCAACTCCAGAAGAGTACAAGGACACTGCTAGGATATGTAGAGAGGAGATTAGAAAGGCAACAGCTCATCTGGACCTCAATCTGTTTACCATTGTGAAATACAACAAAAAGTGTTTCTACAAATACATTAACAAGAGGAGGGCCAAGGAGAATCTCCATCCTTTATTGGTGCTGAGGAACTTTGTCACCAAGGATAAGGATAAGGTTGAGGTACTTAATACTTTCTTTGCCTCAGTCTTTAATACCCAGCTCAGTTATTCTCTAGGTTTTGGCCCCCTGAGCTGCAAGACACCTATGATGAGCAGAATAAGCACCCCCTCGCCCCATAATTCGGGAGGAAACAGTCAGTGACCTGCTACTCCACTTGGACACTCACAAGTCTATTGGGCCAGATGGGATCCATCTGATGGTTCTGAGGGAGCTGGCAGAACTGCTCACCAAGCAACTCTACATCATCTCTCAGTTGTACTGGTCCCAGATGACTGGAGACTTGCCAATGAGACATCCATATACAAGGAGGATTGGATGGAGGGCCTGGGGAACTACAGGCCTATCAGCCTGATCTCGGTATCGGGGAAAGTAATGGAGCAGATCATCTTGAGGGCGACCACACAGTGTGTGTGCGACAGTCAGGGGATCAGGCCCAGCCAACATGGGTTCGTGAAAGGCATGTCCTGCCTCACCAACCTAATCTCTTCTATGACCAAGTAACCTGCCTAGTGGATGAGGGAAATGCTGTGGATGTGTCTGCTTAAACTTTAGTAAGTCCTTTGACACCATCTCCCACTGCATTTTCCTGGAGAAGCTGGCAGCTCATGGCTTACACAGGTGAACTCTTTGTTGGGTGAAGAATGGCTGGATGACTGGGCCCAGAAGGTGGTGAAGAATGGAGTTAAATCCATCTGGTGACTGATCATGAGCAGTGTTCCCTGGGGATTGGTGTTGGGGCTGGTAGTCTTTAATATCTTTATCACTTGTCTGGATGAGGGGATTGAGGGCACCCTCAGCAAATTTGCAGATGGCACCAAGCTGGGAGGAAGAGTAGATCTGCTTGAGGGGTGGGAAAGTTCTACAGAGGGATGTGGACAGGCTGGATTGATGGGCTGAGTCCAACTGTATGAGGTTCAACAAGGCCAAGTGCTGAGTCCTGTACCTTGGTCACAACAACCCCACAAAGTGCTACAGGCTTGAGGCAGAGTGGCTAGAGAGCGGCTGGAGAGCTGCATGGCAGAAAAGGATCTGGGAGTGATAGTCGACAACCAGCTGAGCTTGAGGCAGCAGTGCCCAGATGGCCAAGAAGGCCAACGACCTCCAGGCTTGTATCAGGAACAGTGTAGCCCCAGGACTGGGAAGGAATGATACAGTGCCCTGTAGTCAGTGCTGGTGAGGCTGCATCTCGAATACTGTGTTCAGTTTTGGACCCCTCACTACAAAAGAGACGTGGAGATGCTAGAACTTCAGCCCAAGGAAAGGCAATGAAGCTGGTGAATGGTCTGCTGCACAAGCCTTATGAGGAGCAGCTGAGGGAGCTGAGGTTGTTTAGCCTGGAGAAGACTCAGGGGAGACCTTATCGTGCTCTGCACCTACGTCAAAGGAGGCTGTAGTGGGAAAGGGGTTGGTCTCTTCTCCAAAATAACTGCTGAAAATAGAACAAGAGAAAATGGCCTCAAGTTGCTCCAGGGGAGGTTCAGGTTAGGAATTCCTAGGAATTAGGAAAAATGTATACACGGAAAGAGGGGTGAGATATTGGAACTAGTTGCCCAGGGAAGTGATGGAGTCACTGTCCCTGGCAGTGTTCAAGAAATGTGTAGATGAGGCACTTCGGGACATGGTTTAGCAGGCAGGGTGGTGATGGGTTTATAGTTGGGCTTGATGATCTTGAAGGTCTTTTCCAAATATAATCCTGTGATTTAAAACTAGATTCCACTGCTCCTGTTCATTTTCAGCAATATCTAATCCGGAAAATAATTCTGGATATGTAAAAGGAGGCGTTTATTGGCTCACATTTAGCATATGGGATAGAAATTCTCTTCATATGTGTCTGTTAAAATGTTGTTAGATTTTCAGCACTTTTTCAAAGTTTCAGGCATACTCGATGAAAAGAAAGGTTATGGACTTCAGGTGTATATTCCTATCCAGTTGCCTGTACATTTCTACGTAATTTTGTAAATCTCTTTATTTTTCACAAGAAAAAAAATCAAAACAAGATCACCTTTGACCCAGCATAATTTTCCTAATTAATACTGTGCATGCCACTTAATACCTAGCATTAGACAAGACAAATGTAGACCTTTGCATGCAGATCTGGTTGATAGAACTTTTATGAGTGCCACCAGCACTTGACATCTGCATCATCTCTATTTTTTCCTCCACTGAATCAGAAGTTTAATATTTTCTTGAGAGTTTGAGCTTTGTTGAAAGAAAATGAGGGCACTGTATGGGACTCAGATTAAAAAGAAAAACGTTTTGCCCTTGGAAGAAACAACGGAGAACAGAAGTGTGGATTCTTTCCATTCTCAGACCCTTATCTATGCTTTTGCAAAAAGTAGATAGCTCATTAATTAAGTTAGGACTTAGCTTTCATTGGGATAGACAAAATAAGAAGCAACTATGATCTTAGGTAGATTTGAACATACATAATTATCATTTATCACTGTTCTAGGTGCTGGCCTAGAAGACTCCTCTGAGCTTAGCCATAAATATCTCTACATTAGTTTCTACTAGTTTTTACAAGTTGTAAGAAAGGGCAGGAAGATTTAAACCTCTCACGAGGATATTATGAAACAAATTTAAAGAATGCGCAGTATAGTGAAAAGAATATAGTGTTCTAGGCAGTCATGAGCCTTCTTAAAAATATACCTCTATAGTAGTGATTGTTTACTGACACAAAATTTTTAAAGTTTGGTCATTCTCTTCTATATGCTCAGGGTGAGAGCTCACCTATGAAATGGAGGAGTCATTATCTTCTATTATTGCAGGCACTGTGAGCTGGGAAATGACTATTTGTGATCTTTTGTTGTTGTCTTTGATCTAGCTCTTAGATGTTATTCAGTCACCTGAGTGCACAAGAGCAGCCTTTTCTGGTTCTCACAGGTCTTTCTCACATTCTCTGGTTATTATAAAAACTTCTTCCTTCTTTTGTTTTACTTTAGGGCAGTGGACAGAGGACTAGTGTAAAATTGCATCTGGGAGCTCTAAACTTGTACACATGCAACAACACAACAATTTGTTGTTTGGAAGAGCTAGAATGGGTTCATTCTCTTTGAGAGATTGGGCCACTGCTGGAAAACAGTTTTGAAAATGTTTTTGTGGCAGAAACCTCCTTCAGATTCTTCAGATAAAACATTCATCCTTGCTGACAACCCTTGTGATCTATGAGCGATACTTGGGAAGTGCATAATAGTTAAAATGCTTTCTAACTCTAGATAACTCTCAATTCTCTCTCCTACTCTCATTTTACTGTTGTTTTAAACTTGGTGGCTCCTTTTACAGGCAGGACTATTAAGAGATCCTTTCGTGCATGAAGAATCGGTTCTGAAATGTTTTGCAAAAAATTATCTGTTTTCTGTTTATGCTTTAATTGAATATAAAACATTACAGTATTTCAAAGTTTAAGTAAAAATGTTAATATACTAAAGAGCATATCATTATGTCTGGAGTATTTATTTATTCCTGATATTGTTCCTTCGCTTGAAGGGCATGATCTTATCTCCTCTGATTTGAGTCCATAATAATTTCCCTTAATTCTGTGGGTTAAACTGACTGGACAAACTCAAAGTAGAATCTGGCCAGAAGGTCCTTGCTAATAATATTTCCACATTTCCAGAGATGACAAGTAAGAATCACATATTTAAATATGGGTAGCATACAATAGAGGAAATAATTTTTTTAAGAAAAAGAGAACCAGCTTCTGTATGCAGCTCAAGTAGAGAAAAACAAAATAAATACTTTGGGTGTTTTAAGTGATCACAATATGCTTTGGTTCTGTCAAGAGACACAAGCTGAGCAAGGTCCTGTCACAGCAGTAAAGACTTCATGACTTCCAAGTATGCTTTAAGAAACACAGCTGGTGACTTAGCAAATGACTATCTGTAAGGAATCATCTCAGCAGCTGTAGTTGAGAGTGTCAGGCAGAAAACCTCTGTTTTCCAAAAGATATATAAAGTCAAGTTTCTGTATATTTGCAGACATGAGAGGATGGCACATCTCTTGCAAAACAAGGTGTGTTAAATCCTGAGTGCATTCAGACTCAATGAATTAGAGTATTTTAAAATATTGTTTGCAGGTGGAATGATTCGAGTGAACTAAATAGGGCCACCAAATTTGTAAAATGCAAACTTTGACACAGCTGCACATGTGCAGATTTTTGTCAGCTGAGACAGGTAGGAAATAAGAAAACACTCATTTTTATATTCCCTCACGTCTTCCACTTTTTCCTCAAACATACATCTGCCATTATTCCATCTAGTCCTATGGTGTGTGTGGTCACCCTTTCTGACCTCTTAGCAGCCCACCTACCCTCAGACGCACGACTTGCCTTCTTATTCTTGTTATCTTAACTAAACAGCTCATCTGTGTTTCCTGGCTTCCAATATGTTGTTGCTGTGCTGCTGTTAAACAGTGTTTCTCCTATTGGCAGCTTGCTTCCCTTCTTTTATGGGTCTAAATGTATCTTTTGTGTTCCCTCCTGCCTTCCAGTATACAGTAGGGGAATGAAAATTCGGTTATTAACTAGATATTGTTTCTATTTTTCTAAGGACACCTAGCAGAGAAAGGGAAAGTTCAAAGTCTGTTTTAGTCAAAATAACTCTCTGTGGGACACATAAACAAACTCTCCTAAGCAATTTCATTATTTTTCCCTGCTTCAGAATCGTTTTGTAGTCTTCCACTCTGTCAGTAGATTTGGGGTCTTTTTGATTTTTGACTGGGTGTGAGGTAATTCAAATGTGTGGAAGAGTTCAGTGCTTGTTAAGTTTTTACTTACTTAGTGGCATGAAGAAATATTAATGTTTCCTCAGTGCATAAGCACACGTGGATAATATGACATGACATAAAGGTGTGATTAAAATTGAGCTGTATAAAAGAAATGATGACAAGTCAGGAAAAGAAAACAGAGGTAAAAAGAGATGAGAGTCATCTTTTCTGCTTGTTTCTCTTCAAAATTTTATGCTAGGGTAAAATGCTTCAAATTCTCTATGATGTTTTCAATTCTTCCACAATGGTGATCATATAAAAGTGCTCTGAATTGCCAATTACTGATTTATTTGTTTGCCGTGTCTCCCAACAATATCTTTGATTAAAATCAGTTCTTTGAGAATTGCTACATTTCTTTCCCATATAGGAAAACGTAAAACACAGAGATAAGTAAGCGGTGTCACAGATTTTATTTTGCTCCTCTAGGTTGTTCGGAACCCCTGGGGATGAAATCAGGACAGATACAGGACTATCAGATTACTGCCTCCAGTGTTTTCCGAACTCTCAACATGGACATGTTCACTTGGGAACCTAGGAAAGCCCGTCTTGACAAGCAAGGCAAGGTTAATGCCTGGACCTCTGGCCACAATGACCAGTCACAGTGGTTGCAGGTAAAGTTTTATGTAAATTTTGACTAATGTTTATCAGAATGGAAAAGGCTGACTGATGTCTTGCTTCATATTCTGAGTACAGCCTGCCTAGGTCTCCTGCACTTACATGCTGAAGCTAAGAAACTGTACACAGGTTTCATATCCTTGCTACCTCATGTGTGCTGCTCCATTACACTTCAAACTGTGCAGCATGTAGAAAAAATGGCCAAGGAAGCCTTCAACTGTGCTGGCCAAAGCTTCAACTCCAGAGGTGCAGTGCAGTTATAGTTACTTCTTGGCTAATGAACAGAAATAGAAGCCATAGAGTCAGTGCACTGACTTCTTGATAGCTTGTTGAGAGAGATTGTTTTTTCTCTTCTTTCCTTCCAAAGCTCCCTAGAAAAGTATACTTACTTGAGCTCTTTGTGTATTGGTGCTAATGCAAACCTGGCCCCTAGAAATTACTTCTGTGTAATTGACAGTGTTCCAAATTACCTTCCAACATCACTCTGAAACTGGTAAGATTGATCGAGTACCATGAATTCATTATGAAGTCGCACACAAGGGTTGTTTTCAGTCTGGAGTGATTTATGCAAGTTGGTAGTAGGCTAATGTGAAAGATTGTGATAAATCAGCATATGGAAGTCTATTTGACCAGGCACTGATACATTCATATTTGTTTTAACTGTTGAAAATTGCAGTGTTTTGAGTCAGCTTCCAGTTTGCAGCTCAGGTCTCTGCAGGAAGTCTCAATAGCAGTAGACAGGTGGTACTAACCCCTCTGCAACCTTTTCACATATAAATTATGTCTTATTAGTATTTTTTGCCTATGGTTGCTAAGGAATTTAGCAATGTGATTACTATCATTTCTTCAAGTTTACATACACAGAGAAAAGAAGTAGCAGTTGCCTTGTCTATTTAGCATATGAATAATTGAAGAAACTGGGATTTGATGGAAGTTTTTTAGAACAGCTGTTGATATAGCAGGTAGTAACTTTGGGAGAGGAGGGAGAAGTTAATGTTGTGTTTATGGTAGAGAAGGTGAAAAACGTTTCTCCACATGAAAGAAAAGCCGTTGCATCAAAACCAGTTTTAGCCCCATCAGCGATGCCAAGAAACCAAGAGAGTGTGCGGAAATACTCTGTGGTGCGCTATTCCTCCTGTGAATAAAATGGCTTTTTAATCAATTAGAGATGGCAAGGAGCTGTAAAACCTATTCTTGTATACTAAAGTCTTCATAGTCCTACCATGTTTGAACCTATCTGAACATATAAAAGATTCTGGAGCTATGTGACGACTTGCAGGATCTCTGCAAGTCCCTGCAGTATCCGACATATTCTTTCACTGAATATATTTATACTGTTATATAAATAAAACATATTTATACTTTAGTTGTTTTGCAGCCATGACATGCTTTCAGAAAAATTCATAGGAACATGACCATTTTACCATCTTTCAAAAATCACTATATTTATAGAATCTTTCCAAGACACATAATGGCATTTCTTGCTAGAAAAAAAAAAGACATAAGATTGCTTGATTTTACTGTGCTTACACAGGTCATTAAGTTGTGCTCTTTTAGGATCATACTGAATTCAATTTATAAGTAAATGTGGGCTCAAATGCGTCAAGTCTTCATAGAAATTCTGTAAGTTACATTTACTGTTATCTCTGTCCTCACTGAAATCCAGCTCCTCTCTCTCTTTTAACCCTACACTAATGCTAGCTGTGAGCCAAATCTCGGGTGGGACTGGCCAGCCTAGTGTTGGTTCTTAGGCCAAAGTTATCCTAAAAGGAATGTGGCTAGTGCCCTACACTTGCTTTTGCCTGCCTTTTTTCTCGCTGCACCCTGTGCTGCTCTAGGCTTGCTTTCTCTTTCAACCCTCAACCCTAACCCTAGGTGATAGCCATATCACAGGTGGGGGGCAGCAAGCCTAGCATTGGCTCTTAGGCCAAAGTTATCCTAGGAGGAATGTGGATTGTGAATAATGGATAATGACCTCTCAGTTTTAACAACTCATTTTTTTATCCTTAGCGGGGAAAACAATTCCTCAAACTAAGATCCTTGTCAAAGAGTGTGTTAGTTCACAGGATACAGCAACATGGTAGGGTTGTGATTTAATACAGATTTAGGCATCAGAGAATTGATTAGGTGAATTTGAGTATAAAAAGTGGCCACTTCTAGCATACTGACAAATAAGTCTTAGTGATGTAGTTAAATGTCAAAGGCACGTAGAGAGAGGTACCCATTTATCAATTGCTAACTAGTAAATTTGCCTACTTTATGCTTCCTAGCCAGTAGTGCCTAGCCTGGAATGCAAATATGTAACTTTACTAGTTTATTTGTTTGCCAGTACACCATAGATTTTGTTCTGCAACCATCAGGTCATGCACTATGTCCTAAAAAATGTGTACTGATGTGAACGGTAAGATTTTTTTTTCCTGTGGTATCTTCCTTTGTTGCCAAAGCCTTTTTAACTCTTCAGTAATAAATATACAGAAATAAGCACAAGGTGTTCAGACGTATGTCTTGATTTCCTAGTTGCAGTTACCTGTCACCAGGTGATGGCTACCTAGTGGCCAGCAATTTGATGGCCATTCCAGGGCACTCTCTAATCCAGCTTCTCCCTCTAATTATTTCAAATTCATTACATTGTTCACATTAATAATGTTATCAAATAGTACATTTCAACATTGCCCTTTTCAAATTGCTTATAACTCTGCAAAGCTTCCTTCTGCAATTCATTTTATAGTAATGTTTATAGTGGTCATTGAATTTAAGCCTCAGAATTAAACCAGGCAACATAAAGTCTTGGTTATTTAGGGTTTTTCATGTTGTATCTAGACTGTATTTTATCAATAAGGTAGGATTAAGAAAAAAAATGTTATTTTACTTTGTCTGGCCAAGAACAAGGAGATTGTTAGAAGAGCAGGCTGAGTACAGAAGTTGCAAGGGATCCATGAAATGGATAACAGCTGGATATAGTTTATTAATTATTTCCTGGGGATCGAGTTTGTATAATGACACCTTCATAAACAGATACAAAATGTTCATCTGAACAGTGAAATTGCTATAGTAAAGATTTTATAGGAAAAAATAAGTTTCACTGCAGTGTCCTACACTGTTCAGTGAATTTTATTTCTTATTCTCCCATTAAATCTGCTGTAGAGAATTGTAAGATTAACTCTGTTCCAGACCCTATCTTTGAAATCTAATTCTAGCTAATTAACTAATTGTTTGAAATCTAACTAATCTAATCTAACTAATCACTAAGAAAAATTGTGAGAAGTTTGCCTAAGCAGCTAAATCATGTATAGCTTTAAAGGGTTACAAGAAAATACTGTCAATTCTCTTACTGATTTGTCATTTTTCTCTGTGTCCTGCAAATGAAAGTTTAATTCAATAAGACTCCATTTCCTGTACAATAATATTTTTTTGATCTTGCTTTAAAAAGAAATGGGACTGTAAAGCAAAGCTCTCCATTTTTTTTTCTGGAATTTTTATTTAAAGTGGGTTTTTTTTGTTGCTGTTGTTATTGTCTGTTTACATTAGGAATTTCGCTGTTACTTCATGCCCATAGCAGCATCTTCTGAAAATGGCATGCATTGCATTTTAATTGAAAGTTGTTAGCTCTTTTTTTTTCTGTTTTAAATTCCTATCTTTTTTATATAGCCTTGCTTTCTCAATTTCAAAAAATATTTTCTCCATATTTTTAAAATAATGTAATGTATTTCTGAAAAAACATCATACTTTCATTTGCCTTTATAACAAAGACAAAATGATTACAAATTTGATTAGTGATGAATATGTATTAAAAAAAAAGAGATTACAAACGTGTTATCTCTTCTTGCCTCCTTCTTCGAAGGCAAAATTTTTTAAAGGTGTCCACTTTTCTTTAATAAAATTATTCTTTGTTTTCATAGCCATATCCCGATTAGTTTGGAGAATGATGCAGAATTGGAAACAGTTGTTTCCTCACATTACTTTTAATCTAGACAAGAGAAAAGGAAAATGAAGGAAGCACAGATGAAGGGAGAAATAAAAGTGACCTTGGCAAGGTCAAATACCTTTAAGCAGCAAAAGCTGCCTGATGTAAAAAGCCAGTGCAAAAGGCAATGCAGGCTGAAAACAGCATGGAGTGGAACCAGGTCTAGTTCTATTTTCTGATGGCTCAAAGCTTGACAAGTCTATGTTGTTATGACTACCCCATGCAGTTTATATAATTTTTCCCAAATGTTACTCCTTGACAAAGCATGCACATGCATATTTTCTTTATACATCTGTCAAGATCTCATAAGCAAAATATACGAAGGGTCTGGGAAAGGTACTATCTACTGATTTTACTCTTAATTTTGCATTCTTACAATTTCAGTCTTTATGCCACAATAAAAATACACATTGAGGTTATATTATGGGATTTTGGCTGATTTCAGAATGTTTAATTTGAAATCTGCTTCTTTTTGGTTTTTTTTTGTTTTTCCCAAAAAAAAAGTAGTGAGATGATGTGTCATGCAGAACTGTATTACCTCTCTCTTTAATAATATCCATACTGCTTTCTCGGCAAGTAAAGCAATAGTAGTTTCCCTGTCAGCAAAACATGACATAAGAGAAAAATCTTTGCAGAAAATGTTAGAAAGAAAGAAAAAGAAGTTAAAAGGGAAAAGACACTAGTCACAAAAATACAGCTTCTAAACCTTTCTTCAATTATCTAAGACTTGTTCAAAAGCACCTTGAGACTTGTAATATAAAGTATTAGAATATGCCCTCTTAAGAGTTTGCTCTCTGGTTTCGACCCAGTGTATATGTGTACATTTACTCACAGGAGTTGAGAATTACTGGAAGTACATAAGGAAATAAAGGTGTATTTCTCAGAACTGGCGATGTTTTTCATATATAATTAGTCTTTGATATGTGGACAGAGCTGAAAATTCTCTGAGTAGACAGTTCTTGTACTCTCAGTTTGATAGTATTCCCTAAAATAAGTCAGATGATAGGGCATTTTGAAAGAATGTGTACTTTA